AGGGCAAGGCGATGGGGGGCGAGACAATGGCGAGTGATGGCAATGGTGCAAGGCAATGGCAATGGTGCAAGATGAAGGGCAAGGGAGGGCGGGGTGACGGCAATGGCAATGGTGCAAGCAGTGAGGCAAAGGCGAACGGTGTGAGACGACGGCGCGTTGACGATGTAGGAAGATTGGAGGTGGGAGGGAGATGACGGAGGTGGGAGTTGGAGTGATGACATGGCCTTCTGCAATGGGGCCGAGGGCCAACCAACCATTGGCCCTGGCCCTCCCTAAAGGGCCGGGTCTGCCAGGCTGCTGGCCCTCAGGTCTGGGCCAGGGCCGACCTGGTGCCGGAGGGCCACGGACCAGACCGTAGACAGTCTATGAAGTGGAAATGCGTGTACTGCAAGCAAGGATTACGCTGTATTGTGCTTCAATTTTGGCAGTCTCGGAGGATGATGGGGATACCGCAAAGCTGAAGCTACATGCAAGATAGGCGCATGAATATCCTCTGTTCAGCAAGAGAGGGAATTGTCAGACCTTAAGGCAATTGCCACTGTGGAACAAATGGTGAATATGGCGATCCGCAGGATTACATTCAAGGAGCTGCTGTGTCCATGCATATACTTAACCCAATTGCGCCGGACGGCAACGAAAATGACGACTGTCAAAAAAAAAAAACGTTAACAAATAAACCAAATTTACACCTCTGGTTGCTACAGACCTTCCAAGGTCAACACGGCTGACATAGAAGTGACTACAATACCGCCAGTTGTTTGAACCCTTTGCAGAGTGAAATTAGTCTTGATGAGATGAAACTCAGCTGTACTTACGGTGTCTGAATTGTCATAGAGCAATACATGCCAGTGGGCCCTCGTCTGAGGTGTGTTGCATCAAGAGAATCAAGCTAAAATCTAGTCATGATGCCGCTGCATACACTGAAAGCTGTTCTTATGCACAATAAACACCTCGAGAAGCACCGCAATGGAAACACAGACAGGCAACATATGGAGCTATAGAAAAAAAGATGGTCATTGAACAGAGCCCATGAACGACAGGGGGGATTCTGTCATACCAATAAGGAGACTCCAAGCGATAACTCTGTCAACTGCGAATTTCTCAGCCGATTGGTCGATATGTACACCTATTCCATGCATGAGTAAATGATTCAGCCGGAAAACAGAGCTTTGGTTACATGAAGCAAGTAAGAGACAGCAGAAACCCCAGTTCTATCCAACTATCATCAGCACAGTCCAGAAGTCTGGCCAGGGAAAGAAATGGACACACAGCGCTGGAGTCGTGTATATGAGCATTGCTTGCGCAAGGCAAAGGCTTCTGGGTGGAGGGTCGTCCACTTGGTGAGTGATGATGAGCAAGTATCCGATTGGTGACAATATCCATGACACTACAAACAGAACCCAAGTCGTGGACTGCCGAACCGTTGGCAAAAGAACATAAGTCAGGAATGTACCAGAGAGAAGAGCGAGGCCAGAATATTGAAGGATGTTAAAGGCTGTAATATAAGGCAAAGAGTCAAAGATTGGTGCGTCAGTCCCGAATCTGGCAGGGCTGACTTGAGGCTGTTGTGAGTTTAGGTGTCATCATTAAAATGAGAAGGCATACCATGAGATGAAAAGGAGTCATTGTACAAGAGGCCCTTGAGCATTTCGTGGGGAGGACACAGCACAACCTCCGGGGGCAGAAACATCAGGGAAGCTAGGACAAGATCTTTTCAAGGAGCATGCTTTTGTCCTTTAGCCAACTCTGACAGGTACATCATCATGCAGTTAAAGGACCCACAGTGATGAGATGAGCGAGATGAGCGAGATGATCTACTCTTCAGCCCAAACGTCTGAGCATCCTTCGAAATCCATGAGTGGTTGCGAGGGTTCGCTGCCTGACCGTGCTTCACAAAACAGGATGGGACACTTTCACAAAAGCAACTTTGACGCAACATAGCTACCCTATAGCGCAAGGGAATTGAACCAGAGGAGACTGGTGAGTAGATGAGAAAGCTATACGGAAGATGGGTATATTGGTCTGCGCGGTGATGATGATGTGTTGGGGTGCAAAAGAGCAAGGCACATGAACGTCATTCCCATGGATGACCCAATGAATCAACTACGGAGAACAGGCGCCAAACATGCCGATGATGCCAAGTGCATTGTGAGCGACTGTGACAGGCTCCAAAGTTTTTATCTGTTTGTGAAGGCAGCCAGAAGTGACGTCGCCAGAGCTGGGGCCATCCACAAAATCTTGTTTTTCTGTGGGCAGGCTCAGTGGCGGAGCTGATGAATTCCAGGTGCTAAACCACATACCTCAGGCTGAAACATGTTCAGCAACCAGAGGCTCCATCAAGTTCAACGGACTGTTTTACATAATATTACATGCTTCCTTCAAGATATTGGATAGGATCAACCCTGAAAAGGACGCCGTCTGTAATCTTTCAGCCATTGAGTTGTCCAAAGCTGCTTGCCCCAGGACATCCATACCCCAAGAACATCCTTGAACCTGATTCAGGCAGCAGCATGGTTCTTATTAAAAAGAAAACTTACCTTTTGTGTTCCGAAAGCCAGAGCCGCCGTGGTGGGCACTAATGTGGCATGGCCAGTTAATTCAGGTCTACATGGACAATGCAATAACGCATCTACACTTAATGGTAAATTCTCCAGCGCTGTGTCTATTGTCGGGACATGTGAGTATGACTTGGCTCCAGAGTAAGCAAAGCTGGCAGAATATTTTAAATACTCCACAAAAACTGAAAGCAATCGGGACTGGGGGCTCAACACGCACCTTAATCCAATTGTGCCAGCAGCGATGAACCCGAATATGACGGCTCTCAGTAATACTCTTGGAGAAGTGTTGCTTGTATGGAGGTGCTGCAGATTTTGATCCCAGTTACCCTTCAGGGTAAGAAAAATGAGGCCTACATTCAGGCAATGTTACTATGATCCTGAAATCCACAAAGTCATGAGTGTTCATGACGGACCTTCCAGGACCAAAATAGCAGACCCATATATGGCCACTATTGCACAGGTCACTCATACTCTACAAAGGTTGGTATAAAAATTGGTCTGATCATGAGAGAAGGCACTGACGAGACCTGGTTGTTACCCATTGAGCAGTACATCCCACTGACATCTCGTGTGAGGTTGGTGGGGTCCAGCACATAGGCCTGCTCAATGGTGGCTAAGTTTCACAAATTAGTAGAGCTGAATGATTCAACATGCCACAAAGACTTCAGCTAGTATGGCAGAGAAGAGGACGAATGGAACAACAAGGAACTATGTATAACATCCAGGGTTCAATGGGGTCAAAGGATCTGACAACCGTTGAAACTTACGACAATATTGGCCTTGTAGGAAAAATAGATAACACCTGTATTAGACAGAGAAGTGATCATCAAATACGCCTGTTAGGCATAATGCTAAGCACTTGAAATTGACTGTGGAGCTAGATACATACCTGTAGCATGAACGAGAAGCCGCAAGCCGCATTGCTTGTCGAGTTTAAGCATGCTACCTCAGTTCAGATGGAGGGAAAGCATACAGAACAGGGCATGCATATACCAACATGCATTGGATGAGACAGAGGGTTCTCGGAGGCAGAGGCCCAATTTGATGGGTGATAATCAGTAAGTAGCTCAAGGCATTGACAATTCCTGACGAGACATAGAGGATCCAAGTTGAAGACTGGAGGATGTTTGAAAGCAGGACAGTGAGTACAACGGCGGAAAGAGTGGTGAGTCCAAATGTTTGAAGAATGTTCCAAGCGATAATGTAGGGAAGAAAGTTGAAGGCCTTAGCATTGGCGGCTTGTCCGGCAAGATCAACTGGTAAGACAATAAAATGCAACACACTCTAGGGATACTTAGGAAATGCACCTTCGAGACTATAGGACAAGCTAATGAAAGGAGGGAGACACATGAAAGGAAGTGATGTGGGAGCCCTCGTAGTGGATGCACTAAGTATGCTGGGAGGTCATATGATTATAGATGCCTTTGTCCATCTTTTGATGACGCCAAATGACAGTGTTTGGACAGTGTTGGTATCCTGCCATTGATATCAAAGCTAGGTTGCATTCATGGGTCCATTCATTAGCGTTCTGGAAGAAAGAAAGCTGCTCTCCACTGAGAGATTCCAGCATAAAGTGACATCCGAAACCAATGTTGAGGGAGACTAGGTACAGCTCCCGTGCACACCGCCATGGTGGGCTTTCCTTTTCTTTCTTTCCCTCGATGCCTTGGCGCTGCCATACCTTACACCATCTCCTACCTTATCTACATCCGCCCGCAGTCGACTGCTATTTGATTTTATTATTCTTATTTATACCTGACCTGACAGCCCCGCCACCTTGGTCGTTCACATTGTGCAACATCTGAGGTGAGCTCTATATCCTACTTGGTCTATCCCTACGCATATACTAACTACCTTACCCTAGCTCATCACTCTCGCTCTTCAGGTTATGGGCCCCAGGCTGTGACTCACCGAACTCAGACACTATGTAACATCTACAGCATCGACTCACACACACGCACAGCCAACATGTCTACGGCTACAACTACATGGTTGAGCTACACAGCCCCCCCTGACTTTCCCCAAGGTGGAAAAGTTTGACGGAACAAACTGGCTCCAATGGAGCAAGGCTATTCTTGTCACCACAAGGCTCCGAGGAGCTCGCGGATACCTCAAAGGCACCATACCAAACCTGGCCGCACACCCACTAGCAGCCCCAATACCACCTTCCCCTTTGACAACCACCCCCATCATCACTACCACCACTGCCCTGCCATCCACTGCAGCTCTGACACCCTGGACCTACGCCTCACCCACAGCCGAGGAATGGGACATACGCGATGCCTGGGCAATGGGCCTACTCACTTGGAATGTCAAAAACGTGGTTGGGCTGGGAGTAAAGACTGATGGGATGGTGGCGCAGGCCTGGACCTCTCTCAAGTCGCAGTACGAGACAACCTCAGACCTTGCAGCTGTCCTTGCAGACACGGAACTCCACCTAATCAAGTTCCACAATGGTGACAATCTCCCAACCCACATCGCCAACCTTCGATCCAAGTGGGCCTACGCCAACTCAGTCGGTGTGGAGATCCTCGACAGGGACTTCCATATAATCCTGCTCCAATCTCTGCCACCGACGCCTGTCTGGGAGGCATTCACATTGACGCTATACGAGCTCAAGACAGCTGCCAAAGTTATCACCCAGATAACCCTTCACTGGCAGCGCATCTCACGGAATAGCACAGTCGCCACCCCAAGTGCGTCCACCACAGCACTCCAGGCCGATGCCAAGCAGAAGAAGCCAGATAAACACTGCACTAACTGCCACAGGAGAGGCCACACCAACGATGTCTGCTACTGGCCTGGGGGGGGAAAGGCAGGCCAATTCCCACCTGGCTTCGGTCAGAGC